GGCCGAGAGAATTCTGCCTGTCCTGCCCCTGGCAGGTTGACGTCAGACTGACACGACAGGGGCTGGAAGGCATGCTAATTACAAACTTTCATCCCCGGGGCTCCCAAATATCCACCGTGATTGGTCCGAATAGATTGAATAATTTCAAATTCACCGCAAATCTGATTGACATTTCCTTCAAGAAATCGTGCGTTAACTCGCTTCCTGCCAATTAAATGCCCATTTCTGAGGGTCCTGACATTAACCTACGGGTCAAATTTGAAAAGTTCATGAACTTTTGACAATGCTGACGGACCCTTTATTTGCTTTTAATAGGTTGTTCTAAATACTCAATAGTTTTGGTCAACATAGCTGCAATGCAAAGACATTGACATCATGGAAGAGTCCACTAATCAAGGAGGGTTTGCGCAGTTACGTCTAGACGTGTCTGACAGGCATCGCATTGGGCTTAACCTCAGGTCGCTACGTTAGCGGTGTGATTGATAACAATTCACCTCTGTCTAATCTGAGGTCAATTAAAAGACAAGAGGCTTAGACTAAGCGCTATCACATTTCGTTTTCACCGTATGTATACTAGTATTCAACTGCTATGGGGATTGTGCATTTTACAATAGCGGGGTAGAACTTGTGCTACAAACCCACAAACTTACTTATAAGGTTTACGACAAATTCAGGGTCGATCGTCTTCATGAAATGCTTCTCAATAAGTTTTCACAAACATAATTTGCAGTTTGCAGGGCGTTATACTGTACGGATTTTCCTCTAGACGTTCTGCTGCTTATGTACAAAGTAAAGTTGCATAGTTGCAGCTGTTTGTCCTTAATTGAGCGCTATATGATCGCTGTTCAAGGCCGTGTTGTTGGGGATGATACAATAACGCTAGCAGGGGAGAACTGTGTTCCTGTAGAAAGGCTGGGATTTCCCGACAATAAGACTATAATAGTTTTTAAACTGGTTGTGATAACAGCCAGGAGGAGACTCCCTCCCCTGGACACAGCTAATTTTAGGGGGTTTAAAATTGATACAATCACATTATCGATTTTTAGGCAAACAGAGGGATAGAAACCATGGTTAGAAACCAATCAAAATGTGCATATTAATAATTTTCTTTCTTCAGAAGTTTTTTTTTCTTCTTTTTTTAAATTCAGAAAACAGTATTTTCTTGAATGTGTAGTCCTAAAGATGGGACCACTTATTTAGAGAAGTGGAATTTTGTTTTGGGGTGTGTTTTTTCTTTTGATAAGGGACTTGTTTACAAGGTGAGTGGTGATTAGAAAAAGGATGAGAAGGAACCCTGCAAAAGGTAAAGCACTAAAAGTGAACTTCTGTGTTAGGAATCTTTCGAATTTAGCGTAGAGCGTAGAGAGGCTTCTTGAATTCAGCGCAATACGTAGCCGGCTCTCAGAATTTAGCGTTGTTGGGACCCCCCTTGCAGGGCCCCTTGAAAGGGCTCACACAGCAAATTTTCTGTATCTCTTCGTATTCCCGTCTTAAACAGTGAAAACGCAGTGCCACCGAATCTGTTCTGTTCTCCGTGACCTCATTTCCCTTTCCTCAGGCCAAAGTTGGCAGTCTGAGCAATTTCAAGGACACACAGCTCAGGCGGCAGCGTACCGATACTCCCACAGGTAAACAGGAGTATGTGGCCTTGAAGCTGTGGCCTTGGTATGGCCAAATCAATGTACTGCCTTACATATGTGTGCTTGCTATAGAAATAAAAAAAACTCTTGATTTGTTTTTTTGATTGGATTCCAGCCAAAATAGTTACGTATTTTAAGGTGTAAGTCTATGGGACAGCGAAATTGGCGTATGAGACCTTAAATACTAGTAGCCGATTTAGCTTAATACACTACATTGCGAACCTGTCTATATTAGCAACCGCTAATATTTCTATCTAGTTTATCGGTCACTTTCTTCATATTTTTGTTGCAGAACATCAGTTGGACAGGCTCTGGCGGAAAAGGTATTAAATTGCCCATTTATAATCTAATTATTGAAGTCACCTTATCGTGGTCAAAATAAGACAACTAGTTGTCATAAGTCATTCTTTGATTTACTAACTGTTTAACGATGCTGTGGTTTTAAACAAATCTATGATCTTTGTTGTCCAAGTTGTCCTGGGAGTTTGCAGATGCGGATTTGTTCCACCCAGATGTCAACAAACAGAAGATGTCTGCTGGGGTCCCACTCACAGATGAGGTTGGACTGGCTCCATATTGTTCTTGTGTTAACAAACGACTCCCCACATGTGGATATGTCTATATTATGAATTCCTACTTGCTGTATTTCTCCCACAGATTCTTGTACTCAGCCTATATTTTCAAGTGACAGGGGCTACCTACTTAAATCCTCCTTCCATCATAGTATTATAGTGCCTTTAAGTTGCTGTCAATCTCCTCATTACAGGACAGGTATCCATGGCTGAGAAAGCTGCACTCCGTTATCTACAGGTATGTATCATCCATAAGACTGCCATGCTGTAGCAGATTAGAATATAGTACAAGATTCTGCACAGTCTTTTCCTGCTTGAGGACACATAGAGTGTAGATTGTCCCGCAAGACTTCATAGCAAGCAAATGTACAGATCAAGATGGATATTCTGGGATTGAAGATTGATTCAAATATCCAATGACTGGTCTGAGTGTATGTTCTCTGTGGAGCTCAATTGCAAATTGGAAAACTATGCTTATTTTTGTTGCTGTAGAAACGTTTCTACCTTGGTTGTATCTGGGACTATATTTGTATGTAAATAAGACAAATCTACAATGCAAGCCCTTCCCTCTTCCAGTTGGATATCTGAAGGAAGATCTGGTGTTCTTGCCTGCTCCGCCCTTAAGAGGTCGTACAGACAAGTTTTGGTGACAGGTAAATTTCCTAAAGATATTCCTACCTCTTCAAATGCTTCTCAACATATACCTGAACACCCTGACTACTGTACAAGGCCGGGTGATGTTCTGTTCATTTATCTGAGAGGGAGTAAGGAGGTCATCAGGGGTCGTCTGGAGAGCAGGACTGGACACTTCATGCCCGTTGGTCTGCTGGACTCCCAGTTTCTCACACTGGAGGAGCCTGATGAATCTGAAAACAGCGTGTCTGTCAGTATCGCACAACCACTGATGGCTGTTGTCATGGACATTTACCAAGTCATTGTAGGATTGTCATGAAGTGCCATAACCAAGCTGTCAACCCTGTAACATCGCACATCAGTCAACTAAGGTGCTTTAAATATCAAGGCGCCTTGGTTCAACACTACCAGAGTTTCATAGCAGCACTAGTCTAGTGCGTATATCAGTTGGGAGTGGATAGTTGCTCCATCTTGCGAGCCTCAGATAAACCACAACCTTGAAAATAAAGGCTCGTTATGGCTGTGTGGTAAACGTTTCCAACTAGGAAGACGATAGTCAATTCATCCCTATTGTCACACCCTCCATAATCCACTCAGCTGAACATCACTAAGTCGTAAGCAGGATAAGATGTTGTTTCTAAGACGACTATTCATGTTTAAGCTGTAAAAATCTATACATAATGTATATGGAAGAGCGGGGCCACAGTTGTGGTATCATTTATTACATAAGTCGCAATGTTCCAGCTGTAAAAAAATCAATATTTAATATATGGGCGCTCATCATTCCTTGTCTTGTTCAAGAACGCCGTGCAGTGGACCGCTCAATTGATTAACTCTGCAAACACGATTTATGGGAATGTCCCTGGCTGAGGGAATTAAAGGTCAGGCTACAGGCTCCAGTAAAGAATATTTACATTTTTCTCTGCGACTACTCAGTCTTAGAACTCCCTAATCTCATTACGTACGATCAGTAACGCCCTGGTATCGTGCATACAGTACTGGTGGGAGGCATCGAAAGGGCGACAAATTTAGATGCTCAGAGCAGCGAATATCCGTGACAAAAGAAGATACGTGGTATTATATAAAGTACATCCCGAATGACGGTAGAAGTTAAGGGGATGCTTTCTCTCTGTTAGCCATTTAGCAGATCATACTACTTTTGTCGGCACAGCTTTCATAGGAAACCGTTCCCCATGCGGAAGTTCATGGCTCTTTCTTGTACCGGCGGCAACTAATTGGAAAAACACCCTTTTGCCCAAAGCTGTTTTGATAGGAGCCAAGTCTAAATTGGCTGATCCCAATCGTTCGTAAAATTTATGTTCTCGCGCTGTTACCAAGGGTCAAATCGAACCATGATTGCTTTCTGTGTTTTTGATTAGCGTATGTCCCCAGAAGATATACTTCGATTCTGTACTCATTTATTTGTCTGGCCATTGGTCCCATGTGGCAATGCCGACATGTTCCGGAAGGCACCAGATTCCATCAAAGACCTTTGTCTTGCCGACGTTCAGAAATCATCCAAGACTTTATCTAAGGCTGATACGGCGAGAAAATGCTATTCTCTTTCAAGAAATCGAGTCTTTGCCGTAAATAGATTATCCCCAGAAACAGAAATCATACCACCTTACAATCACAGCTTCATCGTTATTTATTCGTACTGCACTTGAGATGTATAACGTTAGCATATATATCGTTATAGAGATATATATGTCTCTACATCTCACTTCTGTGAAGTTCTGTCATGTTAAACCGACAATTAAGTCGATATATCAACAGTCAGAAAAAAATCGTCATCATAGACTTAATGTTTCCTTTCATTTACACGTTGCTACCGCATGAAGCTCTTTTCACGCGGGATATAATGGTTTTCTTGATACTATTGGTGTACATGTACACACACTTACAGTCATCGGCATACCATACAACAATAGGCACATACACGTGGTACTGAGAACCCTACCACCCGATCTACAGTTTAAAGCTACTGGGAGTCTTTCCCTCTCTGATGAAGCGTTATTTACTTTTCCATTTGACGATTGGGTCCGGCCCGAAGAGACAAAATAGAATATTTTGGGTGACCCACCACACACAGCCCTCCCCTCGTGATTCAACTGCTCCACCCTAAACATGAAACATCACAGTCTCAGTCAGGTATTGAGATAAATACTAGTACATGTAGTATCTATTTGTACAAACGGCATGAACATGATTAGCTAACACCAGTATCATACCAGTTGTCCACAACTACCGCGCGGCACACACAACTGTACATGTACTTCGATACGTTATTTACTCTGGATAAATACTGGTATATTACTGTAGCATGCTTTTGAGTCCACTAACCTCATCCTTTGATTCAAGACTATGTGTTATATAGGATTAATAATGACTACTAGGTATTATGTTTTGTTTCGTCAAAATCCACTTGCACCGCGTACTCAAGGTTCAAACAGGCAACTTATTCCAGCAGCTTATTAAAGTTAGAGATTGAAATTAAACTTTCAATTTATACTCGAGGAAGATTCAATGAAAATCGTGCCGAACGGTTCTCATTTCTCAAAATCATCGTTCCTTTGATTTTTTTTAAATTAATAAATTTACTTCACTTAGAATTGTCTAGGCGTCTATCCTGCCTATGGCACATCTAAAATGAAGCATGTATGCATATTACACCCTGATGTAAAAGAACCATAAAATGTTTTAAAGGTCATTTTAGTTGTAGATTGCATACTAAAGAAGTGAGAGAAGAATTGTATTTGTAAGGTGTGTTTAAATAGTAAGGTATGTTTGAAATGAAGAGGCCACGCAAAGGCGTAGGGAAAAGTTCGAAAATCCAACAAAAACAACAGAAAGTTTCTCTGAAAATGACGGAATGACTCAGCAGGTGGCGGTGCTGACATACTGCGCGCTGGCCGACGCCGTCATCCGGGTCCCCGCCGTGTCCCCCTGGCGCCCGACCACGGTGAGCATGGTGTAGGTACTGTCGCTGGCCAGGTCCCGCCGCTTCAGCCAGCCGCAGCACCGCCGGAACTCTCGCGAGAAGTTGATGGAGAACAGGCCGTAGATGAGCGGGTCGAGGCAGGGGTTGGTCAGGCCGAAGATGAAGAGGGTGTGGCTGGCGGACTTGGAGATGTAGTGCACCATGGACTTGTCCACCAGGTACCAGATGGAGATGACGTAATACGGCGTCCAGTTGATGACGAAGGCCGACACGATGACGAAGGTCATCAGCCAGGTTCTGTCCTTGGCCTTGGCCATGCGGGCACTCCCGGAATGGCGCAGGATGTTGTCCTGGTTGGCTGACGGATCTGGGTATCGAAAAAGACGTTGTTAGGATTTAATAAAGTAGTTATTGGATCTTTCAATGTGTAGTATATATTTTCTACCTCATCTACTTGTTTTGTCCAAATACAACGCATCATTTCATGCCCTGGAAAGTACATTCAGGTCCCTTTTACCTTATCTAATATATCTCAGAAAAGCACATTAATCTCAGAAATGTGCTTAAAAAGCATGGGATCAGTGTGCAGAATTTTCGACTACTCCGTACAAAGCGCGCCTGTGAGCGTCGAAAACTGCTGCAGTGACTCCCCCCCCCCCCCCAACTGACCTGTGAGTTCGCGGTACTTGCGGGTGATTTTCACCAGAATCAGGAGGTAACACGTGATCATGATGGCGAGCGGCAGGATGAAGACCAGGAAGAAGACGCATGCGTTGTAAAACTGCTCCTGCCAGTCGTCTGTGTAGAAGCCGTGTGTGGAGCACTGGACGAAGGTGACGATCGGCGTCGGGTGCACGTGGATCAGGTGCCAGATGACGGCCTGGGGGTGCGGCAGGCGAGATGCATGATTATTAGCCTGGGTACCATCCTGGTTAGCTTACGTCGCTTCGACAGGCGCTACCGAACTGGTTGGTCGGTAGCGACTGTGGGAGCGGACGCAATCTAGCCAGTATGGTACCCAGGCTACATGATTAGCGTCATTCAAAACGTCTTTTTTTCTTTCCTGGTCAAGTTTGCGAAGCAAAATATTTCCTTGGACAAGGTTTCCTTGGAACATGAAGCACAACGAACATATATCATTTTCCTACCCATAACTTTTGCGCTATCCTACAGAACCAAGAACGTAACCTTGACAAGGCTGTAAGTATACCTGGGGTGTGCTGAGGATCGCCCCGGCTCCCCAGGCGATGCCGACCATGATCTTGCCCCTTTTGTACCCATTGGCCGAACTGAGAGGACGCAGGATGGCCATACAGCGGTCAATGCTGATGACCACCAGGATGAAGGTAGACGCGTACAGCGCCCACAACTTGAGGAACTGCAGGATGCGGCAGGCGGCGTCCCCGGCGTACCACTGTACCGTGAGGTTCCAGACGCCATCTAGCGGCATCACGATTAACGTCATGAAGATGTCGGCCACGGCCAGGTGCATGATGAGCAGGTTCACGCGAGACTTCCTGGCGCGATTTCGGAACATCGTGATGAAGACCAGCAGATTGCCGCCGAGGGAGGCGACACACAGCACGAACGTGACGATGACGCGCACTTTCGCGGGGTAGTCGAACACTGGCAGCGGGTACGGCAGTGAAAAGGTGGTCGCGTTTGTCCCCGATCCGTTGCCCTGCACGTCTGACATGTTGAAACATTCCGCGGTTGACATGTTGGTGACGTTTGATGACGAACAAACAGTCGTCTGAGTCTCTGAGGCGTTCGCCATGTTGTAGGCGTAGAAGTATAACGATAAAGTCTTCAAATTTGTCTTTGTGTTGAGACTATCGCTGTATAATCCATATGTCAGCTAGTCCGTTGGGCAGCACAGTTCACTTCTGCATTCTGTTTGTCCGTTGTAGTCGCTGGTCTGAAGACATGATACACCTCACTCGTGCATCCTGATGGCAGTTTCCTTTCTGGGTCTGCCTTCCCTTCTGTGGAAAAAAAGATTTGACAGTCATTATACTAGTATTCTGAAGAGTAAGGTTGCAAAAGGTAACTATATAAGAGTGTATGTAGATTCCCATAGGCAAAATACAAAACTTAATGTGTTCTGCTGCCTTCAGCCACAGCGGGAATCTGGCAACACCGTTGAATTCGGGTTAAGTTGAATGATATGTCAGCAGTCGACGTCGGCTCACTAGAAATGTACAATTTTTGTTTTCCCTCAGGCCGGCCGGTCGTTGCCATGGACTTTTGATTTCCACACTCAATTGCACTCATTAATGTTGATCAATTGTTATTCAGTCTTTTAATCCTTGCATCTTATAATTTGCTTTCTGATTCTAAACGAATTATTTCACGTAGTTTGTAAACCTTTGACGCCATCTAGCTTTTCTAATTAGCTTATCCCCTGGTTAAACAAAAACAGCGTCAGAACTGTCGGACATACGCAGACGGTTGGACAGACGGTTGACATCATCGCTATTCCAGCGGGAGCCACAAACGACCAACATAGGATTTTAACGTCACAATACTAACTTTATTCTGTAGCATGGAGTCAATCAATGCGTATAACAGATGAAAAAAAATGTGATCAAGCGTATTATTGAGAAACAGAATTAACCTGTAGTTTATATCTAATTACGGGATATCCAATTTCATAAAAGGGACATACTAGTAATTGCATATTGGCCGACTGACCTGTTGCATACGCCCAAAGTTGCTTCAGTCGCTTTTACTCACATAGATGATCACCTAATAATATGATATAAACTTTTTGGTCGCTAGACGTTATTCTAAAAAAAACTGTGAACTGTGTGAAGATGTGGAAACCCTGAATGCTCGACACTTTTAGACGCACGCAATATCAAAGTAAGATCAAGGAACGCGTGGACCGTGCGACAAGGTAATTTGCTCCACGGGGAGGCAATTATGGCCAGCAGGCCGTAGTACCTGTCCTGGAAGGATGGTCCAGATCGTCGCTACGAACCATCACTCGGACACCCTGACCTCATATGCATGCACACGTTAATGACATGCTGTACCAGATAGCCTAAGACCGCTATGCTGAAGTTTATGGGACGTCACAAAGTTCTAAAGACGGAGGACGAGATACGTTTATATTATCTACCACCTTGTAAAGGGATGTCGCACACTAGCAATAGCTACTAAAAGTGAGAAGTCACGTCTGCCAGTCGCCGTGCTTACCTTTAGCAAAGTGCGAATATTGCCTACAAGTCAGAGCCATATTTTCAGAATGATGAAACCGCCCTGGACGACATCCTGAGGTAAAATGATTGTGTTTTTTTCTGTCAGACTTTTTAAAAGTCTAAATGGTCGTAAGGGCGAGCACTGAATTTGTGAAATATCCTCTTGTTTGATGGTTGCCGTAAGGTCGGGGGTGCGGAACATCCGGATGTAAGCCCGGTCTCTGGGTGCCGGGTTCCCGCGGGTACGATCGTGCATGTTGGCGGGTTCACTTCCGCGCCCTGACTGTCTAGTACATCAATCTTACTTAACAAGACATGCGCAGATACAGAAACTTCTCCCGTCCACCAACCAACCAACCAATATTGGCAGTAGGTAGGGAGCCGTCTTATCCGATTCAGGCCACGCCTACCTTCCATAGGAATCGAATCAAGTTTGAGTTAAATTTGACTGACCTACTCCCAAAACCCAAGTCAACCAGTCCCCAACCATGGCCCAACCTCCTCATCCACTCCAGATTGTTTCCAACATTTTGAAACGCAGTGTTCGGGACGCTATATATGACAGGGGCTTTAAGGGATGAGCCGACCTTACGCCGACGTATTCGATTGCACTCCCAGCCTTCTAATAGCGGCGTTATATATACCAGGGCTTTGTCACGGTGACTTTGCACGTGTAGACGAGCTAGCTCGAACGTAAGAGTTTCTCCATTTCGTGAAAATATAAAATTTATGTTTTCTTCTTTAGAACGCAACTTATTTTACACCACCAAAAAGGGCAGCACGAACGAGTGTACGAGTACACTAGTACTAGTAGGATAATGCTAGCAATGGCAAGATCATATCAAACTTTGCCCACTTTCAGTTGGCTTTCAGCCATTCCGATGTCTTCAAATCTATGCCGTTCTAGCCTACCCACCTGTTGAAGACATGAGCCTAACATTCCTCTGCTGAGATTAGACTAGACGCCCCCCTGCTGCACCATAACAGATCACCATCCACTTACAGACTTAGAGGACGATTCGTTAATCTGTAGCTGGATGTTGGATGCACACCCTGTTGTTGGATGCACAAAGCTTCACATCTCTCCAGCGTGAACCACATTTAATCCTAAGAGTTTCGGGAAGGCCATCTTCCCGACGGGAACATTATCTTGAAAATAAATCTAGAAAAGAAACCTTCGAAATCAGCCTGTAAGTCGTCTCCAGTAGCGATGCTGTTGCCGGGATCACTTTAAGTGCACGGTATCCTTCAAGTGGCCACAGCCGCCCGCTTCTGGCTTTTCATCCTGCCAACTGTAGACCTATCGGATACGCGCCATGTAGAGCACCATGAAAGCCGACTTAACGGCGAAGAGACCTGGTTGTTTTTGATACATAGCATAACCATTTGGGATATAAATGCTGGTATTAGGCCTAATGGTCGGGGATGGAAAGCACAAGAGAAATGAAGTACCGAGCTTATAAAGCTATTATAACTTGCCGAGAACGATGACTCTCGATATTTTTATGGCACGGTTCTGTGGGATGTACGGAGGTAAAGTATTGCTTTTTGTTTATCAATTTGATGAGGATGAGCTCGGGGGCCGTCTGCTCCATTAGATTGGAGGTGTAATCAATAACGTGCTGCCTGCGTCACTGACTCCACAACCTCGTCACCCCGATACAGACGATCAATTAGAACGGAATAAATCCCCGGCCACGTCGGCGCACCGTGTAATTAGTTGTCATACAGCGTACCTTAGCACAGTTAAGGGAATGAGGTAGAAATAAACTTTACTTTCCCCGGTCAAATTGGCAGTTTCCGTGAAATGACAGACGCTGCACATCTCGGAATCCCAGTTATTGGTGAGGAAAGCGATCCATTAAGATAAGAGATGGGTGAGATAACGCTGGAAACTATGCTTGAAGAAATTGCAGACATTAACGATGTGAGGAACTCCGTGACGGTACCGGGTGGTTGAACTTATACAGAATTAGTCTCTACGGTCTCCCGGAGGTTATAAAGTGTGAATTATGGCCGGCTAACTCCTCTGGCATATTACTAGTATTCAATTTTTTGCCAATGTCTACTGTTTTTCCGCAACTCATTGGGATCTAATAAAGGCAAATATAAAGGATACCAATGTGTGCACACGCATGCGCGCTTGTTCTGTGCGTGCGTGAGTTTGTCTGTGTGTGCGTGAGTAGTAACGTTACGTATAACTGGGTTCACCATAACTATTCTACATTGGCGCCGCACAGTCTTTCTCCGAGCCGCACGGAAATTACTACATGTACGTCTGGCGAGCGCGTGTGCTATAGCTACCAGCTATGGGCACTGCCGTAAACCAGCTAACCTTTTTAGTTGAAAGTCGACGACGACATGGAATACTGTCACAATTGTCATTACCACACTGATGCAATGTTGTTAGTGGCTGCGTTTACACCAAAATCAAAACTCTGTGCATATTATGCAAGAAAAGAATCACGATCCGTTCGTGAAAATGAAAACAGTAGACAAACCTTGCAGCCTTCCACTGATCTTATCAAACCGAATCAGAATCTACTTCATGGAAGTGCATTCCAAAAGGTCCTGTTTATCTTGCACACTATTAAAATCAGTAATATGCTATAAAGTCATAAAAACGCTTTATAAGGTTACGTCTGGCATGCTTGAGAACTTATCGCACATCGTCAGAGATGTTTGCCTTCAAAGATAACACATGTTGCCAGGCGATTCACATTTGGCAACACTGAAGTGTCTTAAATTATTCATAGTGCACTCAAATAATAGTAGATGTACGTAGATGTAACAAATCAAAGTGAAAGCTCTCTGAGGTGAAGATTCCCTTACTCTGGTGATTGGAGATAATCATTGTTGATAACTGTTGGCTCTCTGTGGAGGATTATCTACGACCAAGCCTACAGCACACGGGGGACTATTTATCATATCACAGTACCAAGATGCCGAGATCTGATTACAAGAAATCGAAATGGACTTTTATCGCGAGGTGGGCCACTGTGTGGTTTATGCGGTTAGTCGCTCCCATAAAAGTATTCCTGGGCCATAAACGATCGTTATGTGGTTCTTTGATGGGTCCGACGACGGTGAGAATGGTCCCACCGAGGTCTCAGCCGGTAGAGCAGGCCCATCGGTCAGGTAAAGCCGGCGATACGTCCTCCACAGTCAGGAAAGTTCAGATTTGCTGCAATGCTACTTTCTGTCGTGAGGACCATATCGAAAGGCAATCCCGTTTGACATATGCTGTCCTTGATACGCCATGCGTGCCATTCCTTGCGCAATAAATGGCATCTCCCTGTGCAAAAGCTATTAACCTATTGAACCCTAGACTACATGTATCTGACCACATCTTTCGTGTCCACGAGGCGAATACCGCTGTGCTCGGGTGCTACATTTCCGCCAAACGTTCATCGTCCTGATAGCAGCAGGGGCATCCATTACTTAACCCTGAACAGTTAGATAAAGCACTCTTAGCGGCAACATCTCACCAGAACTAGTCTTCACATTTGTTATCCACGTTAACCTTTGGACGCATAGATTCCTGATGAGATCCTTGATCCTCGAGATAGCTCTGACCAACATG